ATGGGGCTGGACCCTCGTTAACGCCACCTGTGCTGGGATAGTCGTATTTGTATATGTATACAAATACCCCCATCTCTACTTATAACTAAAAGTCTGGCTTATGAATGCTTCAGATTTACAGCTTGCTATTCATCTACAGCACATATTGATCTCGAAAGAAAGAAAGAAAGAAAGAAAGAAAGAAAGAAAGAAAGAAAGAAAGAAAGAAAGAAAGAAAGGCATATTAATATGGGATGAGTAATAAATGCCTAGGTTTCATTTGGCTCACGCTTTGGATGAGTAAGAGCCCCACCTGAGGAGTGTATGTGAGAGAATTGACACACAAACATTCACTCTCTCTCTCTCTCACACACACACACACACACACACACTACTGCTTTGATTTTCATTTCTTCATTAAAAATCTTATCTACTTTTCTAGCATTTTGTGTATATTTTGCTATCACAAATATGAAAATTTCTTGATTCATTTTTAAATTTTCCCTCACTTCAACTTGAAGATTTGTTCAATAATTCAAGATCTGAGGAGACACTTCCACACCTCTATTACATTTTTGTCTCATTTTTACTAGTGTGTGTGTTTTTACTGTTTGTTTGTCCAGTTGTGTTTTTGGAGTTTATGATTTCATATGTGAAGAACATTCTTGTCAGATCTGACATTAATTTGGGCAAATTGTGTTTTCCAAAAAAGTCAGTGCAGAGGTTTTGGTGTGCCAAATAAAATAAACACTGTGTATACCAAAACCAGGTGACAGGCAGAGAGTTCTGCAAAACTGTAAACTGTGTCATCAGTTCACTTTGAATGTTCAGTATGTAAAACCCCAGCGTGTATAAGCTAATCAGTCCTTCTACTGGTTGCATGACAATCTCTTTACATAAGTGAAGATTACTGGAGAGAGTTCATCACCACAAATGGTGCAAAGATTATTATCTGAACTGAATAACTATAGTATATCACAGAAGTGAGTACACCCCCTCACATTTCATAAATATTTTAGTATATCTTTTCATGTGAGAACACTGAAGAAATGACACTTGGCTACAATGTAAAGCAGTGAGTTTACAGCTTGTATAACAGTGTAAATGTGCTGTCCTGTCAAAACAATGCAACACACAGCCATTCATGTCTTAACCTCTGGCAACAAAAGTGAGTACACCCCTAAGTGACAATGTCCAAATTGGGCCCAAGTAGGCTCCCTCCCTGGTTTCGTGAGACCCGTTAGTGTCACAAATCTCAGGTGTGAAGGGGGAGCAGGTGTTATCACTCTCTCTCTCTCGGACTGGTCACTGGAAGGTCCAGATGGAACTTCATGATAATGAACTATGTGAGGATCTGAAAAAATGAATTGTTGCTCTACATAAAGATGGTTTAGGCCAGTGGTCCCCAACCTTGGGCCCCCAGATGTTCTTGGACTTCAGCTCCCAGAAATCCTGGCCAGCAGAGGTGGTGGTGAAGGCTTCTGAGAGTTGTAGACCAAGAACATCTGGAGGCCCAAGGTTGGGGACCACTGGTCTAGGCTATAAGAAGATTGCCAAAACCCTCACTGGGAGGACTGGCTACTCCTCCCTGTAAAGCACATACACTTCCTTCCTTTCCAGGCCTTGCTCCCATGCCTCACTTTGCTGATGCTTCAACCTCTACCTCTTATTCCCTTGGTCCTGTGGTGGCTCCTCCTTTCCTTTCTGTCCCTTTCTCTTCCTCTGTCTTCATTCTCTGCTGCCCCCCTTTCTGCCTCAGTCTCTATTAAAGAAGGTCTGGGCAGCTGGTACTGCTTTATCTTGAGCCCTCAGGAGTAAGCTGGCAAAGAGAAAGAGAGGAAGAGAGAAAAGAAAGAGAGGAAGTGGGGGGAAAGCAACAGGGCACATGGAGTGATGACAGTGAGCAACACAAAGTGCTGTAGGCACACATGTGGCAGGCAGGGACATATACAGAGCAAAGGGGTTATGCTTCCCACCTCAAACAGTGAGAGACATTGGCTGGGTGCTAGTAACAAGGAGTAATGGCATCTTTGTCAAGAGTTTCAACAAAGAGTCTCATGGCGTGGGGGGAAAGCAACAGGGCACATGGAGTGATGACAGTGAGCAACACAAAGTGCTGTAGGCACACATGTGGCAGGCAGGGACATATACAGAGCAAAGGGGTTATGCTTCCCACCTCAAACAGTGAGAGACATTGGCTGGGTGCTAGTAACAAGGAGTAATGGCATCTTTGTCAAGAGTTTCAACAAAGAGTCTCATGGCGTCTGAAAAATGACCAAGTTTTATTTGGCATGAGGATTTATCAACTGTAGCCCACTTCTTCAGATACACATGGGCTGTAGACCATGAAAGCTTATACCAAATAAAAGTTTTTTAAGTCATTAAGGTGTCACAAGGCTCTTTGCTGCTTCTCCTATAGCAGACTAATAGGGCTTCTCCCCCAGGAATCATAGCAGTCCCAGCATCCAGTGAAGCAAAGGTGAGGTCTCTTGGGGAATTAAAGAAAGAAGGATCTGCGTTCTCTGAGGCAGGTCCTTTGTATCAGTAATCCACCTTATTATCAGATGTACCAGTGAAAGGGAATGCAGTCACACCTGTATTCCATAACACGGAAAGAGAAAAAAATATGCTTAGAGACAAAGAAATGTTTGAATAATGCTTCCTCACATCTAAACCAAACCCCCTCCCTGCTCATAGAAAAGCAGCATGTTGTTAAACAGCATTGGCTTTGTCTACTTCCTTTCCTGATGCAGGAATCAGTCAAACATGACAAGTCCTGTTGCAAATTTTAACATGGTACAGTTCAGAAAAACTATATGTCATACAGTCTTTTGACATGACAAGTCCTGTTGCAAATTTTAACATCATACAGTCTTTTATTGGTCCAGATACAAAGCTTAAGAATTACAAGGACATACTATTTCTACTTAACACAAACAGAAAGAAATAGGTTCAGACTTTGTGGTTCCAAGCTTACATTTATTTCGTGGCCTTCAAGGGCAATACTTCTACATGCTTATGTCATTTTAAAAAACCTATACCATTAAGCATTTTCATATCAATCCTACACACTCTTTTAATCATACAATGACACTGATATTTTATTAAATGATTTCAATTCATAATATGTGTTAATTATAACAACTATTCAAAATTTTGTCACAGCAGTGTGATTAGGTTGGAGTTAAAATTTAAACCAATACAACTATTTTTTTAACACATAGTTAACAACATGGGCCTTACACAGAACACAACAATAACACATTACCTGCCTGGAAGTTTACAACCTACATCTACAGAGCTACTCACGTCACTTGGGAGATGTAAACCAAGAAGCAGGCTGTAAGTTGCTAATAAGAAATGCTAAAATAAAATGGTTAAACAACATCAGTATGGGAGAACTAGTTAATACCTGTTCCTTCCTATGTCACAATTTTTCTTTATTGATGCTTTGCTGCCTGAAACAAAAAACAAGTTGCCCACCTTCAGGTTAAACAACATCAGTATGGGAGAACTAGTTAATAACTGTTCCTTCCTATGTCGCAATTTTTCCTTATTCTTTACACTCTATATCAGACCAAGATGCTTTGCTGCCTGAAACAAAAAACAAGTTGGTGCCCCCACCTTCAATACATACTGTAGAAGCCAACTGGATCAACGGCTTACTTCAGCACTGGTGATAGGATAGCATCCTTAACTACAACAGTACAATGAGCTAGCTTCAGATTCCCAGGACAGATTACCGGTAGTTTAGCAGGCCCATCCATCAGCATCTCTTGTCAATGACACCCACTTCATTCTCCCAAGTAATAGGTCTGGCCCCACAATCTGTTCTATGTTTATTTGGCTTTTATTGTGCAGCACCTGCATCATTTCAGTTTTCTGATGTAAAAGGGAATTTGCTGTTGCTTTTCAGTTGTTTTATACAGGGAGGGAGGGAGGGAGAAATATAGCTATATTACAAAGCAACTGCCTTTATGAAAAGCCTATTACAAAGATTTTTTGGCCCATACAACAATTTGTTTCAAGCATTGTCTGCCAAAGAAAGCCATGTGATTAGCCTTCAAAGCAAATTGGCAGAACTAAAATGTAAGTACCCAAGCATAGAAGGAGCATTCACAGAGTGTTGCATTCTGCAAGTTTATTTCCAGTAGATAGTCTGCACTTCTAAGAATATCTTATAAGACACAACATGATGAACTTTGACTTTGAGGTGAGCATGGTCTGATGAAGTACATGGATATATAGCTATAGATAACAGTCATAAATGCGTACATTAAATCCACATTTTCATTAAAAAAAACAACAGAACTAGCATTATATCAGGTGATATATTTAGGAACATGATGGATTACCTTAAAACAGATCAAAATATTTCTCCACCTAGGCCATTGTTGTCTGTTCTAAGACAGCTCCATAAAGTTTACTGCCATATTGTCAACAATTCATCTTCCAGTCACAGATATAACCAGAGCTTGGAAAAGTTAAATTTTTCATGTGTGTGTGTGTGTGTGTGTGTGTGTGTGTGTGTGTGTGTGCGCGCGCGCGCGCGCGGGCGGATAATTCCTTCCATGAATCGATGGATACCAGGCTGCCTCGTCAAAATAATGCTGGCACTGGCAAACAATTTCTTCTTTAACAACATATTCTAAATCCAGACTGGATTCAAATGTATGTTGATAATTTGCATGTATGTTTACTGTTTATCATTTGCAAGAATGCCATTGGAACCAAATTCTCTTTCACTGGAAACAAAACAATTTTAATTAAGTACATACATTTTAATGCTCAGTGAAACCAAGCAACCAATGAGTGTTGACTTCCTGTGTTCTGCCTCAGAAAATCACAGTGACATTGTGAGATCCCATGAAGCACCAGAAATACAGTCTTGTTCGCTTCAGTTCTTTCTAGGCAACAAGAAAGTTTGTGACGCAGCCTAGCTATCTTGCATCTAGATAGCATGAAAAATAATTTGTTAGTTTCAACATTCATAGAATTATTTTAAATGTGTATATTTTTAAGCTATTCCCTACTGCTTTTTACTTAATTCATTGCTGAATGTGGGGGTGGGGTGCAGAGCCATGTTTCAGCCTGTGTGTATCTTTGAAATTCAACCATTTGGGAAATCAGTAAGATGCACCTGCAGCCATTCCAAAAAGTCATATGTACAGATAATAATCGGGGCAGCTGATGGACTGGGCCAGGGGGATGGCCCCATCCATTTCAGGAGAGTAGACTGACTGCCCCACTTCTGAGCTGCTTATGGATAATAATAAGGCTTGACATTTCCCAAAATATGGTCTTCATAGAGGGGAAGGCAGCAAAAGAAGAACCCAAGCCCTATTGCCATAAGAGCCATGGTCCACCCAAAACCATAGGCCCAGTTGAACTCATTTACAGAACCTAGTGGGAAGATGACGTATTTTGAGATCATCACAGGGTAGATGACAAGGCCCATTATTGCGAAGGCAGCTGCAGAGAAAGAAAGAATGGGAGAAAGAAACAAAAACATTAAGTCAGAGTAAGTGATAACAAAAATACAAAGGATTAGCATTGGTTCTGATTTGTTTCTGATAGGGAATTTGAGTGACTATCAATCTGAAACCTACATGGTGTCTCTCAAAAGTAAAGCAGAGGCTTATATGCAGTTGGAAATAGAAATGTCCAGCAAAGGCCAGAATCGTATACAGCAGTGGTCTCCAACCTTGGGCCTCCAGATGTTCTTGAACTACAACTCTCAGAAGCCTTCACCACCCCCTCTGCTGGCCAGGATTTCTGGGGGTTGAAATCCAAGAACATCTGGAAGCCCAATGTTGGGGACCACTGCTATACAGAATTAAAAGGCAATTGTATAACCATTCTCCTCACTCCTTCCCCAGCAAACTTGCCATCAAGTGACTAATCACACAATCAGTTTCACAGCCAGAGCCTGCTGCAGCAGAAGGAGCACTTGCAGAGTTACTTTTCTGCTCCCCATTTCATAAGGAAGATACTAGTCAAAATATGTTGTCATTTGGTGTCATCAGATCACTTTGAAGTTATAATGATTTATAAATTAGTGGCCTCCAAAAGGTTGTGTCATTACCAGCCCTGCTCAGGTCTTACAACTTACAGCTGTTACAGAGTTGATTCATTTTAATCATCTTGAAATGCTCCACTGCCATATTATTTCTAATATTTAATTTTAATTAGCATATTTCCTACAAATACAGCTGTCCTGAACAGGGTTTAGAACCTTACTGAATTTTGCGGTTCTGTCACAACACCTGCAATGATCCTTTTCATTCTGACACACTATAATCATCATGCACCAGAAGAAAAAGTCCATTCAGTTATTTGGTATTTTTTGACCCTCTATAAGAATTTCAGTGTATTGAGATTTAGCATTAGAGTTAGGGTTATGGGGCCTACAGGGCCATCCTATGCATAGCCAGCAACTTGTCACACTTATTTGATTTAGCTCTTTACTCTCCCCTTCTGAAAGCATCTCTTTAAGTAGGGATATTTAGGTGCTACCTTCACAAATAAAGAACACATGAAAAGTATTCATTCATTTTTTTCTTGCCATCTCTGTATCCTTCTTCAGAATCCCTTTAGTTTCATTCTCTTCCACAGTTCTAGCTGTTTCCCTGGCAAACGTCTTGCTCCTTAGGTAGTTGGAGAATTATTTATTGTTGGTCTTCATTATCTGTGATGGTGGAGGAGCCATCAGCTTGAGACTGTGATATCACTGCCACATCCCCAAAGGGACCCTAATCTCTCTGTTTCTCTGAGCCTCTCCAGGTCAACTACCTAGGCCCTCAAAGAACTCCTGAGAGACAGGAGTTCATTGCACTGAACACCCATCCTTGACTTCTGCGTGGCAGGTAGACAAGTGTCACTCTGTGTAAAACACCAGAAAGCCTCTACACTTGCACTAGCTTTCAAACTTCATAATTTTTTTTTTATTAATTTGTTTTTAAAGTTGTTGGTTTGTTTGCTCACTTGTGTGCTTAGCTCTCTTTATTCTGGCATTTTGTAACTGGTACTGAGATGCTTCACCACTGGGCTTCTCCTGTCTTGTGCTCCGAAGATCTAGATATTTTTTCCTGTTTTGAGGGCTTTCCATAGACAGATTTCATTCAAAGAAACACTTTGAATGAAATCTGTCTACGGAAAGCCCTCAAAATGAAGGGCAACTATTTACAACTTCCCAGTAACTGTGGCATAGCATGTCGATATTATATATACTATACTATATTATACTATAGACTTAGAATTTATATTATAAGTCTATAGTAGGTCTAATTCTGTGTGGATTCTGCAACAAAACAGAAGTCTGGAGGACTCAAGAATCCTGGCCTACTGCATAAGGAATAAAACATCTCCTTTCACCTTTTTTAAAAAGTATGATATGCAGCCTTACCAGCCACAAAACACAGGCCTCCTATTCCTCTTATGAAGTTCATGCGAAGGGTGTCAATAGCAAAAGCAATGATGGACAAGGCAAAACAGATGACTACGATGACAAATCCAACCAAGAAAGTGCCTGCTGCACCTTTGCCCCAAGCTGAAAACAGAAATACAAGTCAGGAATGCAAATTTTTTACTCTTTTTTTAATGGTAAGGTATCCATACCATAGTTCAAGAGCTGAACAAAATACATGTCAGTAAATTGGCATATGTGAATGAGGATGCCTGATAGATTGATAGGACAAAATGGCTCCAGCATGACAGCCAGTAAACAGACAGCTGTTCCACATTATGATCCATAATCTATTTTCAGTTTTAAAGGAGACAATGGAAGACGTGGTGGGAAAACATGAGAGGGCTACAAATTGAGGGTGAACAGCTGATTCTATTGTTCCATCATTTCAGACACCTATTTGATCAGAGACAACAGAGAGACAAGAGAAAATGCCAACACAACATGGGAAGCAAAGCCTAACCAAAATAATACTTAGCTTTCTTAAAAACTGTCACATCTCTTTACCCAAAAGAACTTCTTATATACAGACTTCAAGTTGGATAAATCAAAAGAACCTGAAAACATTGCATATTTGGACTATAGTTTCCATAACATCCCAGCCAGCATCAAGCTCTGTGAATCAGCCAGGTACATATCTATACAAAACAATGAATTAATGCAGGTTAAAACTAAGATAGATCCTTAGCTTTAGATTTTAGCCATGTAAAAAGTAAAATGTTGGGTAGAATGCATTTGTGAATGCTGAACAAACACTTCTGTTGTTATTGTCACTGCTGCTGCTGTTCCAAGCATACATCTCTACATTTTGTTGGGAATTTAACATGGAAAGAATATGGGCAATCACAGTTGAGGATGAGTGGGCTTCCGGTGATCTTGGGAAACGTATTAGCTGTGCAGATTCCTGCTTAAAATGTCTTGCTCATGCAAACTTTTAAAGCGGTTGCATTACTTGTCCTGCTCCCTGCCTTCTTACTGTTTTCTGTTTGGCAATTTTTTGGAAATAAAGTATTTTGAATTTCTCCTTGAAAATCCCTAGGGTACCATGGAATCCCTTTGTTGTCAGGAAGCCATCATGAGACAGAAGGGGAAATCTTTAATTACTGAAAATCAATAACACTGCTAAAGTCACCCTGGCATCTGTGATCTTTAGTAATTAAAAACTCCCCACCCCCATACCAGGGTATCCAATGGCTTTCTGCCGGCAGAAGTAATTCCACCAGTTCTTTGGGACTTTTCAAGAAGAGACTGTAAAAACGGCCACAGCTGAAGTTGCCATCAGCCTTATGGGGCCAAACTTACAGAATAGGATTTCAGCCATATCCAGATATGCAAGTACTGTAAAGACCTGAAGCCGTACAGTATAATAATTATTATATGGACACCTTTTCAGAAGAACCCCCCACTGGATTCAATAGGAATTCAATAAAGGTGTGCTTAAGAATGTCATAAAAATCTTAAAGGTAAAACATTTAAGTTTGGAACATTTCTACTGTCAGCTTTTAAAATGAATGTTTTGTTGTTATCTAGGTTTTCCAGAGCTTAGATACAGTAGAAACCGGTAGAGTTCACCATCATAATACTCAGTGTGTCTTAAAAATGCTGGATACAAAAAGAGGATTGCAATGTGTCCTATAAGGGCAACCCAGACCTCCTATTAAATAAGTTCTATCTGGTACTTTCAAAGAGTTCTGACTGAATCTTATATAGCATAAAGGTTTCTGAAGAGCTACTATGTGTGTGCTGGATCCATCTCCTTTCTCACTTACAAAAATGGCTAAGAAGGAATTGGCTGAGTAGGTAAAGGGAATGGTGCAGCAAGGCAGGGTACTAGCATGCCTAAAGAAGGCAGTAGAAAGACCTTTGTTTTTTTTAAAAAAAATTCCTCCTTAGATCCCACTGTACACAGTAGAAAGACCTTTTTTTTTTTTTTAAATTCCTCCTTAGATCCCACTGTACAGCATTGGATAATTATTGGCCAGTCTCCAATGTTCCCTTTTTTGAGTAAGATGTTAGAGTATGTGGTGGCTTCTCAGTTCCAGCAATTCCTTAATGAAGTGGATTATCTGGATCCATTTCAATACAGCTTCAGGCTTGGTTATGGAGTGGAGATAGTTTTGGTTGCTGGGAAAAGAATGGGGGAATGTGGCTCTGCTAGACCTCTCTGTGGCTTTTCATACCATCAGCCATAGTATCCTTCTGTTTAATATTTCTAAGATGGATTTTGCAGGTACTGTTCTATGGGGGTCCTAATCCTTCCTGAAGGATCAAGCTCAGAAGGTGATGCTGGCTATTGGCTTGTGGTGTCTCTTTGGATTCAAGTCTACCCCCAACACTATTTAATATCTATATGAGATGTTTGATGTTTGGTGCCACCATTATGTTGATGATGTCGAACTCTATCCATTCCTTCTAATTCCATCCAGACAAGACAGAGTTTCTCCTGGTCAGGTAGAAGTCAAATTAGGAAATGAAAATTCAGCCTGTACTAAATGGCAAGCTGCAATCCCATTGAAAAGTCAGTCTCACAGCTTGCAACTAAATTCAAGTCTGGGCCTGGATGCACAGGTTTGAGCAGAAGCTAGTTGGTGTGTCAGCTGTTTCCATTCTTTGAGATGTCTAATCTAGCGATAGTGATACACACCTTAGTTATCTCCTGTCTCCAATGTGCTCTACATGGGGCTGCCTTTGAAGAATGTTCACAAATTTCAACTGATTCAAAATGCTGCAGCCAGACTGCTGATTGGTGGTGATTATTGGGAGCACACATCTGGGAATTACAAACTCTTAGAAAAGTTTACTGTGTATGTATACTATCAAAAGACTTTGGGGGGAAGACTGTTTTACTTTCTCTGTAGGTGTGTGTAGGCCAGAGGAATAGGCTTTGTGCTACTGGGCTATGTGAAATAAGTTGATTTTCTGCTACGTTGTCATATCTGTTGGGTTTTTTGTTTTTGTTTTGGTTTTTGAGTAGTTTTTAATAGAAAGTCCGACTCTTCCAAGTCTTCATTTGTGTTTCTTCATTCACAAATGAAGAAACCTGAAATGAATGACCCAAAAGAAGCTTTCCTTTTCATGTAAAATAAAAGGACTGTTGCATGAAAAATATGAAAACAAAGGAGGCACCCCCCTAAAGAGCCCAAAATGAAACAAATACCAAAACATTTTTTTAAAAAAATCATCATGCATATTTCTATATATAACTCATCTATTACAACAGCTTCACTGACTGCCAGTCAGATTGGTTATGGCCTATAAAGCCCTATATGACTTGGGTCCTGGCTGCCTAAAGGAATATATCAGCCCATATGAGATGGGGGGGGTTGACATTTTCTGGGGAGGCCCTTCTCTTTGGTCCAGCACCCTCACAGACTTGTTTGGTGAGAGTACCAGAGAGGGCCTTTTCAGTGGCTGCTCCTAAATTGCAGAATGCACTTCCCCAAAGGAGCCAGGTTGGTTTCCTCCCTCTAGTCATTCCACCAGGAGGCAAAAATCTTCCTATTCAGGCAGGCTTTAAGTGAATTGGATAAGTAGGGATTTGGGTACAAATGGGAGCATTGAAAGTAACATGTTCAAGGCTCCGAGGTCCTCTATACAAAATCTATTACACATTTAATCTTTTTAAAATAATTTCTACAGATGTATAAAAATGTTAATAAAATTAAATGTGGATGTTTCTGCATGCTCTTGAGTCCCAACATACTGTCTTATGTCTTATGATTCCTACTCCTTTTTCAGTCCAGAGACAGATAGTGTACAACACCTTATTGCTGTAGGTGTAATTAAAGATAAGGACCTTGGGAAAATAACAAACCATTGTGCACAACTCATTTTTAGCCATTTTAAATGCCTACCTTCAAAATGGACTTTATTTACTACCAAGAATGTAAAATGACAAAAGGTTCTAAACCTATAATTGTACTTGCTTGTCAGATCTTAGCCGTTTCCCAACTAAAACCTATCTTTGCCTTCTGATGAATCACTTAAAAACAAAACGAAACAAAACCCTTCTAATTTGTGTGTTTGTATCATATTCGGATTTTGTAAAATCTTGTCTCAAAGAGAAAATATAGATTTTACCCTTAAAAATGTATTTGTTGAATTCATAGATTCTTAAAATGTGTTTTAAAGGTGGTGTTAGTGTCATGAGTTTAATTGAGTCTTAAGACTGTATTTTATTATGATTTTAATGGTGGCTATTGTGTTGTTTTAATTGATAATGAGTTGCCTTGAATCTCCTATGAGAAAAAAGACACCATATAGACAACAGCAAAAATAACAGCATTAAATAGCAAGAACAGGAAGTGAGGTTCAAAAAACAGAGAATTATACCAGAATTCTGTCTTAGAACCATCTGCTTACGCAAAATTCCATTGATGGAAAACCCAGACTGATTTCCAAATTTCTATGAAAATTCATTGCTTTATATTTGTAAATCCTTTCCTACTTTTCTTATGTTTTATGTTTAACCATGAGAACAGATTAATTCAACATTTCAGATCCATAAGGAAACCACAATGGACATACACAATTTTCATATTTCAGGAATGAAGAAGAAATTATTTTTTAAAAACCTAACATCAGTTTTTATACTTTTGATGGTGGAACAATAGGAATAGGAATAATTCAGAGTAACATAACAATAATGAGAAATTACAGGAAGTAATCTTTTTGATAAGGCTCAAGCTTATTTTGCCCAGCATCCTTTTTTTTCCCACAGGAGCCGCTGGGAAGTCCATAAGCAGGACAAAAAGGCAACCATCTTCTCCCACTTGTGTTTTCCAGTCTCTGAGATCCAAGCAAACACAGCCCATGACTCTAAAGATAGCATGCAACTATTTGTTCTTCATGATTCTAATTCCCTTCCGAAGAGCCATCTAAGTTGCTGGCCCTTACTCTGGTGGAGAGGTGTTGGAGTACGCCCATGACCAAAATGGTGGGCAGTTATTATCTCCATTTTTTAACATTTATTTGTCATTTTATATAGTATAATTATCTTATAATTTTCTGTGTAATTCAACATTTAACTTGTTGCTATTTTTAGTTTAACATTCAGTAACATTTATGCTTCTGAATAAATGTTAATTATTAACATTATAAATGCCAATGCATACTGTATAAAGCATAGTCTCTCATACTCTTTCACAAACTGGTTTGCTAGGAAACAGAGAGAGAAGCATTATACGTGTCGAAATGGATGTTCTAGAAAATAAGGGATCAATCTGAAAATGATGCCCATTCCAGAGCCCATGTAAGACAGTACTTAGATTATGAGAAAATGCTTTTTTAAAGGCCAAAGATATTCCTTTGCACATAGAGGACTAAATGAAATTATTAATTCCAACTAAGTTAAAACCTTTGACGATTGGGACTTCTGAAATCAATATTTAAGTAATTCCCACTGATCCACTGACTCTTGTCCAGCTGGGACTAACAACTGGTTGTAGTCCACATGTTTTAACAAAACAAAGAAACGCTGTTACAATTTTGACATAATTTGCATTATTTATCCTTAAACATTGTACATGTGCCTGCATGCCTTCCAGACATAATTCTTACTTGCCGGTGTTAGCTAGCATGGGCCCAGGAATATGTGTGGGTTTTTTTCTGAGTTCTATACAAATACTGTAGTTCATAGTACATTTTCTTTGAAAATGTGCACTTGTGCCAGGCTTAACCACAAACATTTTCATCCTGTGAAACAAAGTAAAGGAGAAATACAAAAGGAGCTATGCCCCAAACATCACTTACACAGAATTGTCCTGTAGTCATGGATAACAAACCATTCCTTAAAAGCTTTGGAAATGATTATTCATTGAATACAATATAAAAATTGGAACACCCAGAAACTAGAAAAGTTACTCGCCTTTTCTCCCCACTTACTGGTCAGAGAGTTCTGGAAGCTGTATTTTTTTAAAAAAAAATTCACTGTTTCCTACCTCAATACTGAGGTCTGGAGGTTGTGAAAATATGATGCAAAGCAGTGCCTCACTCACGTTTATTAATGAAATCTCACTACTTTCTTCCCCAAATGACCTTTCCCTTTAAAACTGCATTGGTATAACTTCAGAAAGCATATCTGCAAATGGAGTAACATAGTCATCATTAGTAGGATTCTTACCATAATCCATTAGTGACCTGCATTGCCATTCATTCTCTAAATAACATATTTTCCATAAGGAGCCTTGTTGTACAAATGGCAGGCTCTGTGAGCTGATCCAGCCCCAACCAGCCAGTGAAATGATGCCAAAGATCACTGCCAATCCCAGAAGAAGAGGCAAAATCCATCTGCAGCGGGTATAATCCAGCCCGTATTTAACCATCTTGTTTAGGTCTTCTTCAGTTGCTCAACTGGTAATTGGAAAAGTCTTCTGCTGCTTATTTAGGAGTCTGGGAAGAACTCTGATTTAATAAAGGAGTGAGAAAAGTGTGTTTGAGAGGGTTGTTGTAAGTCAGAGAAGAAAGAGTACAAGGAGGAAGGTATGGCAGAGACAGAGAGCAGCTTTGCAGCTTTGCGAGCAGACAAGAACCGAAGAAAGCTCCACCTAAATTTCAGAAAGCAAGTCACTACAACAACCTGTTGAGCTGGAAAGAAAATTCAGGGTTGGGAACGTGCTCGTTTTGGAAATAACTCCTCTTCATTTTTTTAATCTGCTACTAATTAACTTCAATATAGGCAACGCCCTATTGCCATTAGCACTTTGCCTTTTCAGGGTGGAAAAAAATCACACCAAAAAGCATCTCAGGGTGGGGGGGTGGGGAGAGCAAACAAGGATGAAAACATATTTTATTAAACAAAAGCAACTCCCTTATTTATACAGGTTATGAAACAATTTGATTAAGTTTCCTTGGTTTTATCTCTAAGCTGCTAAGACTGTAAACAGAAACAGATGCTAAAGCAACAAATGTAGATTGCTACTGAGGGGATATCACCACTTTAAAAAAATTCATTTTAGTTTTATGTCAGCTGGCTTGATAGCTCAGTGGTTTAGCTATCTGGCTGTGGAGCCAGAGGTTGGCAGTTTGATTCCCCAGTGTGCCTCCAGTGAGTAGAACCAGCTTGTGTGGCCCTGGGCAAGTTGCACCGTCTCAAGATGCACCCAGAAGAAAGGAATGGTAAAACATGTCAGTGTATTCTGCATCTAGAAAACCTTGAAAAGAGTCACCATAGGTAAGAATTGACTTAATGCCACAGTTATTACTAGTCTTATGTCAGTTCAGCTGTGGTGGATTTCATGAAAGAACACCTACAATTTGATGAAAGGGTTTCAAACCGCCTGTCAAACTGTAACTATCAAACCGTTATGTGAACCTGTTCAAAAAATTATTTTCAAAGGTTTTTTTTAACCTACTGAAACCAATTTCACCTGTACCTATGCAATCCATAATTTTCACCTTAAAGCTGAAGGCAGCATCCACTTATACCTACATGCTTTAGAAGCTTAAATAGAAGCCTTGCAAAATATTTATTTTTTTACTTACTTACTTGCCACCATAGTTGCACAGAACTATTCTGGGCAGTTTACAATAAAAACAGCAGTGACTAAAATGTGAATATTACATAATATAAACAAATGCGCCTGAAGCAGCATAAGCCCATGTGGCACAAAAATCAGAGTGGTGGAACAGAAGCAGAACATTCACAGGAGGCTGCCTTTGAAAGCCTCCTGAAAGAGAAGCATCTTCAGCAGACTCTTAAAGCTAGGGAGGGAAGGCAGCATGTGTAACTCCACTGGGAAACAATTCTACAAGAAAGGTGCACTCCAGCACTGATGCCAGACACCACTCAAACATCTGGAGAGCATCCACTGCACAGGTGGAAAAGGAGAGATAGAGTTGGGTATCATCACCATTGTGCTCCACACCCCAAATCTCTGAATGATCTCCCTAGAGGGGACAATAACTTATCCCCAGGCTGCACTCTGGACAGAGTCTCCAAGGAAGGACCACGGCCTGTCTAGGAAGATAATGTGGTTCACAGTATCAAATCCAATAAGGGTCAAATAATAGATCCTTGAAGACCAACAGGGAATGGACTCCCCAGTCAGCCTCCCATAACAAGTCATCTTGCAGCTTGACCAGTACTTTTTTAGCACCATGGCAGGGCCTGAATCAGGATGGGAATGGATTGAGGCAGTTTTCCTCCTCCAGGAATGAGTGGAGATGCTTCTCTGCCACCTGAACGATCACCTTCCCCTAAAAGGAATGTTGGCAATTGGCATATGTAGTTGTTAAGATTGCTTGATGCCAAATTAGGTTGTTTCAAAATGGGCCAGATGATGGTTTCCCTCACACATGAGAGAAGATTACCCTTCCCACGTTGTGAGACCAACGGCGTTATCACAGAATGGATAAGAGATATCTCAGTTCTCAGGCATGATAGCCTTAGTAAGTTCTCATAAAATGTGAAGTGTAGAACCATTCTGCACTGTTCCAGAGCAACAATGGCAGCAGTGCCTGCTATGATTGCTCTTCCATATAGTCCAGAAAGTGTGAAAAGCATATGGAGACTGAGGCAGTGAAAAGAAACCAACTTTCTCCTGACTAGTTTCACCAGCTGCCAATTATTCATAAAAGCAACAATGCTGCTGGCTGGCTATTTGAGGTAAGGTGTGTTAGGGATTAGGCATACTACTAGGCATTGTGGGCAGCCACCTCAAGCATAGAATTTTGGGATATCATGAAAGCACAGAAAATTATTACTTATTTAAGTTATTCTTGTATTTTTATTGGCAGAGATAGAGAAGAGGTGTTTTCTGCCTCCTGTGCCAAAACAACTTTGCTAGCTTTAGGTCCTACATGCCTTAACCTGCGTTGGTTGGCGTGGTAACATTTGTTACTCCACCCCGGGAAGCAAAATATCCTGGGAAATCTTTGAATGTATCACTGAAGAGACTACAATTAATTTTCATTCCCAACAGCAGTTCCCCTTTTACCATATGCAAGGAGATTTTATGATGGATGCAGGGCGAGGGGATGGGACTCGGGGGGGGGGGACACTAGTAAGAATATGGTCCAACTTCATATAGTTATCCCTATATTGGACTGTGTCACATAACCCCACCAGTAATACACACTGACCTGCTGCCGGTGGGTCACTCATTCAGTTACAGCACATAGAAGTGCCAAATATATACATGTCAACCATAGTGTAATGTCTCGGATTATAAGAGCCCCAAATAAAATATTAAAGATTATGATTAATAAATGTCAAGTTTTGGTAATTCTTTCGGGCCTCTTATACTTGATATAGCTTGCAGCCTCAGCTAGGGTGGCCACATATTTACTCTTATGGAGAGCAGTCATTCATCTGAGGAATTGCCACAGGACACTCTTCATTTTAAATGTATTATTTGTTTGAAGACAAAGGAATACTTGTGTGAAACCAAATATATACTGTACTGGGGGGAGAGAGAGAGACGAGAAAAACACAAAGCACTTAAATTACAATTACTTTTACTTTAAAAGTAAAGCACTGGAAGTAATCAAATTTCAAAAAGAAGAAAAGTAAAGGCTTATATTTATCTATATGTTGAAGAAACTGAGTTTAAAATCTTGTTTCCATCTTATTTTTATTCTTTGTTCAATCCTTATGATTTTTATAATATAATTCTCTCTTTTTTGGCTTATAAATCCTACTCATTATTTTATAGATAGCAGTTGTAAGGTATAATACCCATGTATAACACGAGTCAGTACTAAGGCTCATGGTTTCTGTAG